CGGTGCTTACATATTTTGTCCTTTCCAGATCGAAATTTTCTTTTAATAGCTGTCTACACGAGTCAGTTTATTTTGACCAATAATAAAATTAAACTAATCTAAATTCTGTATACAAACAATCTCATCATCGTATTTTTCTTTTTGTTCAATTTCCTATCAATGAAGATACATATTCGAACAATGCCTACCTCAGTCTTCCGTCTATTGACAGGACAAATTATTCCTCGATATATATGATAAAGAGAATTTACTTGGTTGTGTATATTATACATTTAATCTCTTATTTGTTGTATCTGGAGCATTTATTTCTGTGAGTATTGACAATGTTTATCAACCGATAAAATGATCTGATTCACAATATATACAACAATAATCTCATAGGAATTTGCAACTTGTACTCTGTTATGTACGTACATATATTGTGGAAAGTCTCAATGATTTCACTTCTCTTTAAACTAGGTTTTATTTACATATATAGTCAGATGTCTTTATATATATGGTTTTGAAAAAACGCCTCCTTTTTAAATAGACTAATGATGATGGTCATTTTATTTTATCTCGTGTTTTTTTGTGTTCTGTTTATTATTTTTTTCTCTTTAAAACACTGGGATAATATTACTTATTTTAATATTAATCACACATTAACAGGATTGAATATTCGCACAGATAATCTATTGTACTCATATATATATCTGCTCCTATTTTTCCGATCCATAACACATCTGCCCATATACATAATAACATCGTTGTCAATTTTAATTGATGCACGGAATTATTCCCATTTTATTCAGGTTTATTTTTCTCCCAGAATAATTATGCATTTCTATTTATTATTCTTTGTATTAATACTAATTTTTTTTAAAAAAAAAGTTAATATTGTGTTGTCTGCTTGCCTTGAAAATTTTATTTACTTTCATCTCTATTAAAACAATCTTGTTCTTATATTTGATTTATTATACAGTATTGAATTGGTAGTAGTTTTTACTAACGGGAAATAAGATTGTCTGTTTACTGTTGTTGTTCTCTTTTTCTCTTTCTCAGAGTTTATTAACTTAATATCAAAATTACGATTGTTATTTCTGTGGTTGTCGTATGGGAAAAAAAAGTCCTCTTCCCTATTCATCAATACAAACTGAACTTAATATCAAGATAATTATTTTAAAAACATATTGGGAATCAATTAAATTATTATTTAGCTTGATCAAAGCTATTCATTGAGTCTGAAAGTTGATTTTAAAAAACGTATAGATACCTGAATAAATTACGTCTATATTAATTAACAATAACAAATTAGCGTATGTTAAATGTTATAGGTTGATATCACTCAGAGAGCATAGTATGGTATTACAGTTATTTATTAATTGAAATAATGTAGACCAGTATAAGAAAACATCGATAAGCCAATTTTAACAAACATAATTGAAAAGTCATTCCTATCATATTAATCTGTGAAGTAGTCATTTATGTCATAACCTCTTACAAATGTACACCTATGCGTTCAAAATTGTGTTGGTTTCTCTATTCAAGCTATTGTAAACTCACCTACAAGATGTCTCATGTATTAAAACAAACGGTATTTGGTTATAGTTTGAATATGCACGTGTTAATACTAGGATTTAGGTACATCCACCTGACAGGCTTTAAATAGGAAAAAATGCGGATTCTGGATTTAACTGCCAGTTACAATCCAAATTTAATAAAATTTTAAACTGAAGCGAATCCGCTCAAGATGGGTGGATTACAATAATAATTGATCGAATTCGTTCCTTAATTTCAACGTGAAAAAAAACTTCATGCATAAATTATAGATTTACATGATTTTATTTTGAAAGAACTTGTATCCAGTAGTGTAGCTGACAGTTTCTTCGTTCAAGAGAAGTGTTCATGTAGTTTCATCAATAGCAGGAAATGTGCATAAGATATTTTCGGTATCATGCTCACTGTGAAACTTGAAGCTTAAACGTTCTGATTTAAAGAAATCCCCAACTATTAGGAGAAAATTGGCACATTTAAGAACACAGCTAAAGCCATACAATCAAGTTCAGGAGAGTTAGGATTTGAACAAGAATCTGTGAATGAACGGAGGTTGATAAGAAACAGTCTAATTAAAAATCAAAAGACAAAGTGATTGTCTTATGAGGTAGCAATTCTTCAAATCATGCTGCTATGTGATCTAAAAAAAACTAATAGACAATATATCCTATTGTTTAACCTATTCATACATTTTATCTTAATAATTTTTCATCATCAAGCTGGCTTCGGACCTGTTCGTGGTTGCATCGACCACATATTCACCATTCGTCAGGTTCTAGAACACAGGCATACATATCGGCGTCCTACAATGGTGGTCTTTCTTGACTTAAAAGCAGCATTTGACTCTGTAGACCGACAGGTTGTGTGGCAGTGTCCGTCATTAGAAGATGTACCTTAGAAGTACATAAACCTTGTGAAGACGCTTTACTCGAACACTACTAGTCGAGTCAGAGCTTCTGGCGAACTGTCATCTGCTTTTGCAACCTCAAGTGTTGTCTGTCAAGGCTGTCGACCTTCTCCATTTTTGTCTAACTTCATCATAGACCTACTGATGGAAATAACGCTCTTATTGACCGAATTTTCGGGCATTGATCTCATTCCAGGAGGTCCAATTATCGACTTAGAATACGCAGATGGCATAGTCCTGTTTGGTGAAGACGCTGATAAAATGCTGAGTCTTTTGGTAGCACTAAGCAACAATGCCAGTATGTTTGGAATGCGCTTCTCATCCCTTAAATGCAAATTGTTGCTTCAGGACTGGTCTGCATCAACACCTGAACTAAGGATAGGGAGTGAAGTAGTCGAACGCGTTGACAACTCCACTTACCTAGGAAGTCTGACCAACTCAAATGGGTTGGTGTCTGACGAGATATCAGCATGGATTCGAAAAGCTCGTTTGGCTTTTGCCAACTTACGTCACCTATGGCGAAGGCGAGATATCCGTCTATCAATAAAAGGACGAGTATACTACGTGGCAGTTCGTTCTGTTTTAATTTACGGCAACGAAACATGGCCATTAAGAGTAGGAGATACTCGTAAGCTACTAATATTTGACCACAGATGTCTTAGAAATATTGCTTGCATCTGTTGGGATCACCGGGGAAGTAATAGTGGGATTCGACGCATGGTATTAGGGAATGATGGTAAATCAGTTGATGAGGTTGTGAATCTTCATCGACTGAGATGGTTGAGCAACGTGTTACGTATGCCTGAACACCGATTACCACGACGCGCAATGCGGACTAGTGTTGGAGGCGACTGAAAGAAAGTTAGGGGTGGCCAAACCAAAACATGGCATTAGTGCTTGAAGTCACTAACTTCTAGTCTGAGCCATGTTAGTAGATGCAGACTACTTGGTGTGGGTCCGTGTGACTATCGTAACCAATGATTGGAGACTCTTGGTGACATGGCTCAGAATCGATCACAATGGTGTCGGTGTATACACTCTCTGTCTTCCCTTAAACTAAGAGATTAAAATTGCTTCATGTCTTTCTTTCTACGAACTAATTCTTTCTTCCTGTACTATATCCTTATCGCAATCTTTCTTTTATATATTATCACCTCTGAATTAACTAGTTTTATGAATCTGGTGTCCATCTTGTCGTGTTAATGAGGTATGGCAACTTGGACCGATGCACATATGTGCACGATCCTACGTTGTAGCTGACTGACTGAGTGTTCGGCCAACGGATCCGAAGTATTTTGCGTAGACAATTGTTAATAAACACCTGTATTTTCTGGATACTGGCTTTCGTAGTTCTCCAGGTTTCTGCCCCATACAGTAGAACTGTCTTGACATTTGTATTGAAAATCCTGACCTTGGTGTTGGTTGACAGTTGTTTTGAGTTTCAAATGTTTCTCAGTTGTAAATATGCTGCTCTTGCTTTGCCGATTCGCGCCTTCACATCTGCATCAGATCCACCCTGTTCGTCAATGATGCTGCCCAAATATGTAAAGGTTTTCACATTTTCCAAATCCTCTCCGTCAATTTTGATTGGATCGGTGCATGCTGTGTTGTATCGGAGAATTTTACTTTTCCCTTTGTGTATATTGAGACCTACTGCTGCTACACTGGTCGTTTTCTCCTGCATTTGTTGTTGCGATTGCGATAGGAGGGTCAGATCATCTGCGAAGTCTAGATCGTCCAGCTGCATCCTAGATGTCCACTGTATCCCGTGCTTCCCTTCAGATGTTGACGTCTTCATGATCCAATCGATCACCAGGAGAAAGGGTGAGGGTAAGCAACCTTGCTTGACACCAGTCCCTTCGGGGGCTACTGCCCGTCCCAAGCCCGGATAAAGGGGGAGGGTTGGGCATGGAATTAGCGTCCCCATCCCGTAGAAAACTAACTCGCTAAAAAAACGCTAACCAGAAAAAGATATTCCTTACAAGAAGATATATAATGAGTAATATTTTTACAAAATATATGAATACTTGTTTTATTATATTTTATGGTTCAGTGAGATTTAAAGTTCCGGGTGAGAGTAGGTAGCTATCACATTAATACAGATTTTTACCGATTATCGCATTAAATCCGCTCAATGAAATCATTAATACTGAGTTAGATTATATTTTTTTATTGTTTTGTGTATTTTCTATTTCGAATAAAATTTTCCTAATAAGAAATGACATACTATTGTTTTGATACTAACATTTGATGTTATTTCTTGTTATTAATATAAATGAAATTATTTGCTGACGAGTGCCAACCTAGATTCAAGGTTTTCTGTTGACTACCTTCAAGTAATCAAAATATCACATGTTTTTAGTTAATAACTTCCTTGATCCAGGACTAGAAAAAACTACCGAATACATGATTAAAAATATTTTTAAATATAGAAAATAACGATTCACTCAAGAACGATATGTGCAAAATGAATCTAGTTATTCATACTTTGAGACTAGCAAAAAATAACGAATATATATGTACACTGTATATATATATATATATGATACATTTACAAAATTCAATATCCTGGAGGTAAAGCTGGACCTTCTGGTTCAAATTCACTGTTGTTTGAACCTGACTCTCCATCATTAATTATTTCTGCATCATTTGAAGAATGAGTATTCAGTTTATTCGGTTGCCATTTATCGTATGTATGCCATAGATTTTCAAAAGTTACAACTTTTTGACGTAAATGTTCAAAATTCTCCAATTTTGGTTTACGCCATAGACGAGGCTCTTTGTCTAGTGCACCAGCTATAATTTCCTGTTAGAATGGAATTAATAAGGAAATTGATAAAATGACAATTTTAATGTAAAAATCAAATTGTAAGATTTATTTTATCATAATTAAACATGAATAAAAAAACGGTGTTATGGGACATAGTGAATAAAAAGCGAAGAATGGGAATGAGCTATCCAGATTACTTTCAAGCTTTTCTCCGCGAAATTTGGAAATACATGGTTTTTATATTTCATTAAGTGATAGAAATACCTTTTAGTTAAATATTGCTTACATTAATTTGAATATTGTGTGATATTGGGTCAGAATCGATCACAACAACCTAGTTACATTTTCTCCTTATCTTAAACTAAATTGTAAATTCTAATATCTCTTCATACTTACTTACGCCTGTTACTCCTCGTAAAGGAGCATAGGCAGCTCACCAGCATTTTCCATCCAACCCTGACCTGGGCAATCCTTTTCATATCTGCTTCTATTTCCCGACGTAATGTGTTCTTTAGCCTTCCTCTTTTCCGCTTCCCTTTAGGATTCCAATTTAGGGCTTACCTCGTGATGCAGTTTGATGATTTGCGTAATGTATGTTCTATCTATTTCCATTGTCTTTTCCTAATTTCCTCTTCAGTTGGAAGCTGGTTTGTTCTCTCCCACAGAGGGCTGTTGCTGATGGTATCCGGTCAATAGATGTTGAGTATCTTGCGTAGATAAATACTTGTACCTTCTTGATGATGGTTTTAGTAGGTCTCCTCTTCACCAACCATATTTATTAATACTCAATATTCTTCAACATCATTCTTACTATAATAAGTTCAACTAGTTTAATGTAACATCTTGTTAATACTTCATTCCTTTGTTCTAATGTTGTGATATGAAGATTTATGCTAATACTAACTATTTTTGTCAAACATGACATTGTCGTTTATGATTGACCGATGTGAAATTACAAATCGAAATCATTCAAAGACAATCGTTAATTTACAAACATTATTATTATTTTAATGTGTAAATTCATAAAAATTTCATTAAAAAAAAATCTAATTACAGTAAGATTAATTTTGAATGTTCTACATAAAAGACTGTTATTGATAAACAATCATAAAAAGGAAATGTTAATTTCCACTGTTTATCAGTTTGTCACTTCGATTTTTTCCAAACCTTGAAAGTCAATTAACTACTAACGTTTGCTGAAAATTTTTAACTTTAATGATGTAGTCACACTGCATTTTTATGTAAAGATTTTCATATGATGAAACGCGCCTCATTTATTAAAGCAAATTAGAATAATAGAAGATTGACATGGATGATAAAGAGTTGTAACTTTTGACCTGAGGGTGTTTAGTAACTGTTTTCATGGTGCTGATTCGACAGTTGAATGATATTTTATGTTATCATAGTCGTATTTTTTTGTAGACCATATGCAGTTTTTACTGGCGCTTTTTAGCTATTTACTTATCGAGGTAAATTTAGGACATTCAAACTGATTTTAGTCAAATTGTGAAAATACGATTTACTCAAATGAAAATCCTTACACGTCCAGAATATGAAGATATTTCGTGTTCTTCATCTAAAATACGTGCGAAACCACCATTTGTAGTACCGAACTCTACAGCTAAATAAGCGAATTTCGGAGGAATTGCACCATACGCGCCAGATCCACCCGGTTTTAATGTGATCAGGCGACGATTTTGATCCCATTCAGAGCCAATTTCGCTTAAGGCTTTCTAAATAATAATTTTGGAAAAACAAAATCTCATAATTTAAAGAATATTATAGAACAGAGACTGAACTGAATGTAGGTTGCCGGATAAATACATTATGCAATAGGATAGAAGACAAAATTGTCAAACAGAAAAGTATGTTATTAAAATAAGCCACTAAGAGAACGTAGGTGAGGATAAACACATTCAATATGGCAATCTGTTTCAAAATAAACTATTGAATATCCCGATATGGTGATCTTAACTACGTAACGGACCATAGCAAGTGGTCAAAGGTTTCAACCGGTTGCCTTAATGTGTTTGATCGGAATACTTTTTCCGAGATGCACCTAATAGATTATCGATCCTTGCCCTTTTACTGGTTACCCTGGGTTCACATAGAATGTTGTGACCGATAATCTATAGCACATGCTTTGACTTCAGGCGTGGATCCAGTAAGGGGGAAAGTTGCCGTTTTTATAACAACAAAGGGTCGAAACTTGTTCGTACCTTCCGGTTTATGAAACAATCTACCAGCGAATCTTTGCTTTGACTTTCATAAATGCTCGCTTAATGATATCTACATATCATCTCACCCTCCTATTTGACTGAGGGTGAAGTAAATGGATATGATTGATGTGTTGTTTGCTGTAAAATGCGTGCAACTACTGGGAGTACTGTTTTGGGATTCAATGGTGACGTCATTCCGAAAATCATAGAGATTACTTCAAGTTGTTTCAAAGTTTCATGAGTAAGAATTAAATATACGGTTCTGTTGAAGTGCCTATGGAGTCTGGGCAAAATCATGAGCATGTCTTCTCTGATTGTATCCATAGTTATGAAGGCAACTTTGAAGATTTTTCCGCAAATTAGTGGCACATGAGGGAACTTTTGTCAATGAAAAGAAGTCCTGGTTTTCAGGCCTGATTCTAGACCTGTTTTATCAGTAGTCAACCACAACTAGCAAATATACAGCTGTTTATGTCGCAGAGATTAACGAACAACAGTTTTAACTAGTTACTCGAAAACTACGATTTTTAATAGACACTTTAAAACAAAATCGACTAAACCTATTAACCTTATCACCACATAAAAAGAATTGCAGATTATTGTGTGGAATACAACGAACCCCTATTACCTTTGTGTTAGGGATGCAGGGGAATATACCAATCATTATCATGTTAAGTCTAATGATTTCCTTGGACTTTAAATGGACATTCCCTATTGGCCATTATTTATTTCACTCGTTAAATATTGTACAGATGTTGTTTTCTATTTTTATGGTACGATGTGGTCTGTTTGGTTGGTATATAAACAGAGTGTTTGAAATATAACGATTCATATCTCAGAGGCTGTGACTTGTTCTGGACTCAACTGGCTGGGCTAGACAGGGAAGCGGGACCAATCAGAACTCCAGGCCGTTCATTACGTGTTACTGTAATCGATCGATAAAACGCTGCTCCATCTAAACTACAATCCACACGTTACAACACTATGAACATGAGTTAAGTATTATATGGAAAAGTTAGTTGTAATAAGATTTAGAAGATGAAAATGATTTCAGAAATAACCTATTTCTTGAGTTGTTTCCAATAAGTCAATTAGTCATAGAAAACACTAGATTTGAGATAAATATGTATCGACTATAGGAATATTACACCTAAACACAAGCTGATCCGTGTTGAATAGATGCGAAAACATTATCTTTCCACTACTCAGCGCATTGACATAGCGAACTGGTCCGATTGTTTTACCAACCAAATAAACAAAGTACAGATACACATACTAAAGACTTTGAGCTACAAGGTTTCCATTAGAAAACATTATCCGATATCCTAAAAGATGAAATAAAGTAATTGGTCAATTAGGGCATCGCGCAATTTCGTGGATTGGTTTAAGTTAGACACTAAAACTGTTGAATTTCGGCTCAGTAGTCTCGAGGTTAAGCGTTCGCACGCGGGATCGTGTAGGCGCACTGCTAAGGAGTCTCATGCTAAAATAAAACGGTCGCCCAGTGTTTTTAGGTTTTTAATGGTGGTCTAACATTCATCGATCCATGATCTTAATTCAGCATTTAACCGAGTGATAAAATAAAAGAATGTGTCAATGATAGTTACTTGGCTCAGTTTTGAAACAGCTTTTTTTCTATCTTTAGGTCTAGCTATTTACATTGACCTATACATTTTATTTTCTACGTAAGCTATGTATGTTTAAAATTATTTTGACTAAATCGATTTTGTATAATAACAAATAAGTACAACCTACACAACATTCTTTCTAACATAAAGACAATAATTAAATATCATAAATAATGTTTTTAGCTTTTATTGTCTAGATGAACCACATCAGTCAGTCGGTAAAATCTGATGGAGCGTCATCAATACTATAAATTAATTACGTCATATGCGAACAGCTCAAACTTTTAGATTTTCGTCGTTAAATGTGTATAATTTTTTTCAGTAAATTTTCCCGTTTTCGGTTTGTCAAAATGAACTAAATATGCTTGTCATTAGAGTATATTTACGCACCTACATAAAATATTTACAGTTTACCGAGAATCTAGTTACTGAAAGACTCAAGAAATAAAACAACGGTGTTGAATAGTGGCTAGCAGAGGGATTCAGAACTTGTTTTTCGTCTGATTCAGGACTCATCAGCTATATGTATGTTCACTACAAGATTAAAACCAAGTATTTTCCGCTTTGAACGTATTATACACTTAGCTACTGTGTACAGATATCTATTGACTTGTACAAAGGAGGTTACCACAGAGTTCGTTAATCAAATAAATTTGAGGGAGAAAAACTAGTCGTAGGCAATTAAGAATGAAGAAGAATGGGAACTAATTTTGGTGGAGCTTAGAAGACAAAACTCCACTAAAATCATCCACGTGAACTACAAATATCCACTATCTCAAAATGGCAACCAAAAAATATTTTTGTGCATATGTTTTTGGATATTCACAGATGAAATACTTAACAAAATGTGAGCTTTGGTGTAATATTCCGTATTTTGTGCGCAGATTTCTTTTTTGCAATCAAATATATACTACCGAATAAAACAAGTAGTCTTACTGTTATAACAACAATAGAATGGTGTAAATTAGTGAAGCAAACACTTATTTACAATTTTGTTGTTTTGTTCCGTTTTGTGGGAAACAAAACTAGCGAAGAGTAATTATCACAGATTAGTGAAAATCATAATATTCTAGAAATAATAGCTAATATTTGTTTTTTTAAACGGAAATAAAGGATGACGGGTTGACGAACTAAAACAAACAGATTGAATAGCAATCAGATATATTTTTGTTACTTTCTGTATTCATCACAGTAAATATTTGTTCAGGCCAACACAATATTCTTAATCGGTCTTTGGTTGAAGTGTGAGAAATTAGTTACATTGTTAGGATCTATAGTGACAAGCAACTAAGGTAGGCTTAACACGCTTAAGACATTGTTCATTTATGGTACTAAGGTATGTTTCGAAAATTTATTTTTGTCGATTTGTATATTATCAGTTAGAATAAATACGTTTCTATTAACACCCCAAGCCACTTAATCATAGTATCGTTAAAGAGGAATTTAATTCAGTATTGTTCATATTTTGTGATGAGAATTTACTTGCCGTGTAAACAAAAGTATGGTATCAGATTAAATGATAACCGTTAGTTATTATTATTAATGTTATCAGGTTACGGGTTTCACTTTTTGTTCTTGCTCGTCTTATCCTAAATCGAAATGGACACAACTGAAAATCTAATGGAAAGAATGCATTGTGTTTAGATGAAAGTAATTTGATACTTTATCCATTAGAAATGTATAAGACTCAATTTTTAAATTTAACCGTGTCAAGTAAGTGTGTCATCTGAGTTTATTCATATACAATTAGATTGATAAGTTAACAAATTGCAAATCCGACAATTGGTATGTGGAAATAGTTTTGTTTTAATTATTATGAACTGGAATCAGCTGGAGAACCGAATGACTCTCTCGTTCTCGTTTTAGGATTCCTCAACCGTAGACACCACCCCTCCCCCCACTATAACATAGAAGAGCCTGGATAGGAAACTAAGTGTGATATTGTAGACCCAGACTGTTAAGAAAGTCAAGACGAGAACGAAATTGTTATCTTATGCTTCCTGCTGGTAATCAACGATACTCCAACTAATGTCAGTCTTCAATGAACAAAACTATCCTCCATATAATCAATTTCCAACAATATATAAAAATTATATACATATAAATTACCTTAAAGTAAGCAGGTAGTGAGCTGTATAATTTTTTGGGAACCGGAATACACTCCACTTGTGCATGATGACGAATAGTATCCGATTTACTAGCAGTTTCAATGAAAACACAACCTGACTGACTGTACTGCTCTTCGAACATTACTGTTAGTTGATATTTGAAATGTCGAATTTCTTTTATTGCATCTTCATCTAGTCGAGTAGTTGAACTGATATGTTCATAAGGTGTAAGTAAACAATAACCTGGTGTCATACTAATATGGGAAGGTAAAGACAAAAACACCTGGAGAAAAAAAAGAACACGACAGTTACTTCCTTTTTTATGCAATAGAGTAATTAACTGTGTAAAAGATGGGTGCATATTCGACCAAGCGGTAGCGGCTCTCAGTTACTAGATTGTAGGTCTTAACCTGGCTCCACTTATAACAGTTCAAACAGTTGAATAATATCATTGGCCCTCACACTTACAGTATGGTTCGAAGCTAAGTACACAAAACCGTAACTGGAAATAAGTCAAATAAATTGAAAGCTAGTGAAACTACAAATAGCCAGGACTGAAGTAAATGGAATGAATTTGATAGTTTCAAATAAATTGAGGGTTGGGTAGAAAATTAATGATATATATATATATATATATATATATATATATATATATATATATATGTTATATCCCGATGAGTATAAAAGTCGTATTTCTGGCGTTTCGTGACTTAACATAGGCCGCTTCTTCAAAGTAAACAGAACTTTTTTGTTATAAAATGTTATAAAACTTTAAAATGAAACCATATAAATCACAAAACTGTGAAGATAGTATAAAGACTATCGGTAAATTTATTGACTGCATAGAACATCTAATTTTTCATCGTTTTATAAATAAATGAATAAATAAATAAGTAATTAAATAATTAGAGGATAGTCTTTCAAAAATATGTTGAAGTTTAAAAAGATAAATTCTAAAAACTGTAGAGGGTATTAAATAAGTGAATTTTATTTTTATTCTAAAATTAGCCAATATAGATTTTGGGATCAAGTCCATGATTTTTAGGTTCCATAAGAAAGATAACCTTTAACTATTTAGTCATTCTAGTAGTTTGAAATGTCTGTTCTACATTAATTCGTAATACAATCAAGTTGTTATAGGATTTCAACAGTCGATATTAGTGTCTCCAATATCAAACTGATCATTTTCTTGATGAGAACAAAAATTATTGACAAGTTTTAATATATTTTGGATTGTGGAACGGGCGTTTTGTCATACTTGAAAGTCGCTACATGGATGTACCTGTATCGCTATGCTGTTCACATTGGTACTCAAATTCAATACCTGTCGCTTGAAATATCGACATATTATCCACTAACCTACTTGTAGAAAAGAGACTGAATAGAAACATTTTCTCATAATGTAACGGTACATGCAAAGACTGGTTAAAATTTAGTCTTGAATATCAATAACGGAATAGTTAAATCTATTATGAAGAGAATTCACGGCATAAAAGTAGTGAAAATCAAACATTAGTATACCTTTTCACCAAGACTAACAATTAAATATTTAGGAACACGTTCTAGACAAGTTAAACACTTTGATTCAGCAAATACTCTTCTCTTATAAGCTATATAGAAAGAAAGAGGAAAATAGAATGAAACAGAAACTTAAAATATACATGACATTAAAATATTACCGGCTAAATATAATATTCAATATGTTTAAAAAGCTTTTTTAGCAAGGTTTCTTAGTTTAAAAGCGATTTAATTACATGTGAATAACATTTTAATGACCAGTGAAAATTATTAGATTAACTATCTTCAAATTGTACAAAACGGAACATAAGTTATAAATGGAACTAAGAATGTTTGAAAATAATTTACCTTTTAAATAAGTAAGTAGAACATCAATCAACTCTAGAATCAGTCAGTGGATCTTATATAACACCTCTAATATATGGTATTGAGTCTTAGGCTTGAACGAAACAACTGTAAAATGTGCTTTAGTTTAATTAAATGACTATCTAGATAATGTCAGTTCATAATGAAGGTTACTTGTAAACTGGAAATTCGCTTATAAACCCAATCGATGTACATGTATTAAACAAAACTTTCAAGGTGGAGAAAAATAATGTTTATCATTACTTTTATAGTATTTTTCTGAATAATGTTCATTCTTTCCAATGTATATTACCAGAAACCACAATGTCGCTGATTGAACTTTTTTGTAACCTGTCCAGTGAAAGATCGTAAGCTTTTAATAAAAGCGCCTGAACAGGTTGTGCAATTTATAGACATAATGGTGTTTTAAAACAAACAAGAACAGATAACTTGTTGAAATATCTAGATGACAGGAACAGGTAACCCAGATATTCAAGTAGGTCACCGATATTTACAGGAAACAACTAATTCAATTATTTCACCATAGTTTATTGGTGCGATAAGGTTACCTTTTTCGAATATTAAACATTTTGTAGCTCTATAGATATTAAAATAAATGCCTCACAAGATCAGTATACAGAAATGAATTACAATCGTACAAACTATTTGTTCTACACCTACAAAATAATCGTTAGCTAGTTTCAATTTAACTAAGTACGATTCAAATATATATTCTGGGAAAAATGAATCAAAATTCATTAGCCTTAAAGGGTCTTATCTAAACAGTTTGTTTTAAGGATTCACAGAGTTACAGATTCAAAGCTCACTTCACCTGTTTTGATCATTATGTCCCATATATGGAAAGAGATACTTTATTTAGAAACAACTATTAGAATATAAACAGTAATGAGGACTGATCTTTTATAAGAATTAGAACTCGTTTAATCGAAGAAAAAGTCACATTTATACTACAGATTGAAAATAAATGACAAAATCAGCATACACACAACTCCACGGTCTAATCGGTAAACCTACATGATACAGCATCCTGTTTACATTTAATAGCTTCTTTTTCAGCATTTACTCGTTTTTTCACAAAAGCATCAGTGTATTCATCTTCTACACTCTAAAAATGCATACATTTAAATAAATACTGTGTAAGAGTTTACAATTATTAGAGATAAATACACAAACAACATAGAAATTAACATAACAGTATAGCAGTTAAGACAGATATTGGCTTCAGTGATTTGAGTACTTTGCTTTTAATTGTGTCGACTATAACTTATTTGTACCAAATTATAGGTCTGTGTACACGGTTAGTAGTGTACATGACTAGTAATTAGTACTATCACTCTGTCTAAACCGAAGTTCAATAGATTACATTAATCTTATACGTCTGTAAAATACTTTTCATCTATATTTATTACAATTATCTAACTTCTGTTTGTTTTTCAAAACATCAGTGGAAGTCTTCGGAAGTCAGGTTTGCCAATCATATAATCGTTTCTCGTTTTATGATCTCTACTTTATACCAGTAGTTCTGTCTTGAAAGAGATCAATAATATAAAGTTGTATGATTAAGAGGAAGCATGGTCTGACGTATCGATTAAACAATTGCGGACCATCATTGTTAACAAACTTAGTAACTAGCTCACTTTGCGTAGGTATTAGACATTTCATGTATTAAAGTGAACGTTTCCCTCATTCAATATATGTGTTATATGTAACTTTGTTTACAGAATAAAATTGACAACAAAAACATTTCACCTTTCTAGCAAGTCTTGAAAATTCAAAATCCATATCACTGGCTGAATGTAAACGTTCATCACGTATCATATCAGCAACTTGTTGGTCTTCATTATCTTCTGGGAAGAAGGCTATTCGTTGTCCAGTTGAGTCATGAGATTTAAAACGTTGTAAGCTGGAAAGTGATATCAATCAATCAAAAATTGCAGTCAGAAATTGCATGGTTTCAATAATATAACATAAAATAGATGTAATGTGTTTGTAAGAACAAATGTGTTTTGAAATAGTTATTACTAATGAAGAACATCATGTGGTGTGTTGCAATACATGCACAAACACACACATTTTAAACATTTCTTTGGATGCTTGATATATTTCTACAGTTGAGTGGGAAAAGTTTCCGGGTTGTAAGACTATACACCCATCTGCATGAATCAGCCAGTCGATCAAAACCAACGCTAAGTCTGACACAAATGCAAATTGGTTTAAATTGCCAGCCCACATCATCACACTAAGAATAAACTAACGAGATGTATGTGGTTGACTGTTTAACCCTTTTTCTTTATGACAAAGAAGTATCATTAGAGATGTTGGTTATCAGCAGGAAACACCTTACTGCTATCACATCCCAGGGAAGCCTTACTCACTGCATTCTCGCGGTAGGAGTGTTGTCTAAAAACTTGAAAGGATGGAAAGTGAATGTCCGGCGCTTCAACAGGGTTGGTGGACACGGAGGATTTATCTAGAGGAGTTGGAGAACCCTGATTCGAAATCAATGGTGCACATGGGCTACAGTACCCCGAAGGAACAAATGGTGTATGAACCAATCGTTGGTCACAGGCTACCATGGGACTGCATCTCCTGACGTTGCTCCACTGACTTGTGGATCAGACCTGTAGGTCGAAGGCTCCAGGTAAGGCCCCCTAGGAAAATCACCTGCTTCGGTTTGGGCACCTGTGCAGTATCACAGCACACACACAAATCAAGTGACTTGTGTGGCACATATTTATTTGGTGCCCCTTTTTACCAGTATTTATGTATTCAAATAAATAAATAAAGCATTCCAGGACAGTAGGCAGTACGATTTAAACTTCAGATCATAAGCTTATTGTTTCTAGTTCTACCGCTATTCGACCAACCCAATTGGTGGAACCTCTAGAAAAGAGTGAGTCATTTAATATAGCTTGGTTGAGTTTTCATGATATCCAAGAGTAACAATCGCGTCAAGCTAGCAGATATAGTTGAGATCAGTATGAGTTCCACTGGTAATCAAAGCATTCTACATAGGCACAATGTGTGAGTGAGTGAAGAATTAAAGAAAGTTAAAGATCGATGATAATGATACGACCTCATTTACGATATATATTATCACCTGCTCTACTCTGGATTATTATTCTACAAAGATCCTTCGGTTTTCAAGAGTTATAAATATCTGTTACTGACATAAAAAGAGCAAAATGAGTTTGAATTCTTTTTAGTCAAATAGGTGAATGTCAAGAAGTTAGTATAAGAAGTCATAGCACACAATTTCCTTCAAATGTATGAATAAATTGCAAATAAAGGAAACATCTAAAAACAAAAGCATACTTTTTATCATTGGTATGCGAAGTTCCTGGAAGATTACGTATATGTACTGGTATTTCAATACCTTGATCATTTAAACGTGTTAATGCAATTATTTTAGACTGATTATCTCCTGACTGATTATGGATTGTTTTATTCTTTTGTACAGTATGAATTCGTACTTTGATACCACGACGCATAGCTTCACGTAATTTTTCTAAATTTGCTTTTAATTTTTCTACTTTCACCTATTTATAATAAAATATATATTAAAAATACAAACAAATGATATAAAAACTTTTTTTTCTGAAAAGAAGAGATAGTGTTATTTATGATAATGAACAACATATGAACTAAAGACGTTAGTTCATATACAGTAATGGACTTGATGTTTTCTGAAAGAAATACCACCAGAAATCTCATATTTCCAGTTTTACAATTTTGTTACTACACGCTTTAATTTCTTGCACGGCCTGAAATCATAAATTCATGTGATCTTTTATTTCCTTTTTATCTTTAAATATATAATTTTGACCAAACTATCTCCAAGTCAATTATAAACTAGGATTAAATATTAACATTGTCTATTGCAGAGACAATAAAAGACTAAGAAAGTAACAATATTTCTCTTTAAATTATGTGGACTTACTAAAAACGGTTGAAAATTTGTTGGTTGTACATAGATTAAGTTGAATCATTTTCATATACATCGCTTAGCTAATGTGCTGTGTGAAATAATGGATCAGCTATACTTACTGATAATATACACGGTAATATTAATCAGGTTTATTTATCACACAGAGTTTTTGTACTGAGGTTTGAATGTCACTACATAAGGTTTTCCAATGAAATTGAAATTTGAAATGCGTTATCTCCAATAACAAAGTACTTTTAATCAGATAAGAAAGATTAAAATAGTAAGTATGGGACAAGTCGCCTTTAATGTAGCATTTTTTGACTAAGGGAATAGTAATAAGTGATTACTTAGTAATAACTGATGCCATGTTTAGTTATTTTAATGTTGGCTGAAAAACAAGTGCTACAACCAGTAAGCCGTCCTTCTAAAAGTGAACGCAAGATGAAACTAATGACTACGTATCAAAGTGTCTAGACAAAAAAGTTACATTCGTCAAACAAACAAAAACTGCAAATAGTGCAGCGTACATAGTATGAAACAACACTTTACCCCATAAATAATCTCTTACGTGATTCGACTCCAATTCTGCTCGCATCACCTTAGCAGCGACTGAATTTATGTCATCATTTGTAACTAAACGTTCTTCAAATGTTCTTTGACAATCATTGATGGAATTTTCTGATTCCGTGGTTAATTCTTTTTGCCTTGATAATGATTCTACGAGTCACAAGATTTTAATCAGTTATTAAACAATGTAAGAAGTAACTTGTAAGACGCTTACTGAATAAGAATAATTATATCAGCCAGTCAGTCATGCACAACGTAGAACCTGGCTTACATGTGAATCCGCTGAAGTTGTTATGCTGAGCCAACACAGTGAGAGATAGTTATGTACAAAGTGTAGTATGTAAAGTGGGATTGTGGTTACCTAGGATGTGAGTCTGGGTCTATTTGGAATTTATTAGTAAGATGCACATATATCACAATGCTGATGTTTACCACGGCACTTATCACTTCAGACATTAACAACGCTTCATCTACTACGCAACTGAATCCAAATAACTTATTTCGCAACATATACAATGGAAAAATACAAACTCTTACAAATGTTATATTATAGTTTATTAACCAAGAATAGCTCTTCTCATGAAATGATATCAACTAGAGAACGATTAGTAAAACAACAGAGAATTAGATGATTGTTTTCCCTTAAATCTTAATTGTATGTACGCTTGGCCATATATACAAGACTGCGTTCACATCTCATCACGAACAGGTCATAGTTGACTCAATAAAGTATATGTATAATTTATTTTTGACAGTTAGTATTCAGAAACTAAGAGTTAATTGAACACTTGACTTCCTTTACGACGATCAACTACGAAATAAACACAAAACAATGTAAAATGTGAGATATCATATCCCTTTATTGTAGAGACATAGATTTAACCGAAAAAATTAGTAATATCACCCGATAGCTCTAATCATCCCACCGTTTTTGAAGGTGTTGTGTTTTCTGAGCCAAAAGGTTTAATCATGAAACTTCCATTGCCTTTCTAGACAACATCATCAACACATGCTTCAAAAAGACGTAAGCCATTAAGAATTCCAAGGTTGACCAACAGTTTATTCTGCTAACATGGTATTTGATGGTTATCCATATACATATTTTCGATGTTTGTACACTTGTTTTGATCATCCCTCTTGGTTTCATAAACAGCTTTAAGGTCAGAAATCAGGCGAAGGGAGAAAACAATCGAAGAAAATTTGAAAACACTGATATCATGTGGACAACAACTGAATACCATGTCAGCATGACAAGCTGTTGCTCAACCTCTATCCCAATAACAATGTAGCCTAACTGCCATTAATCTTGGAAGTATATGACGACGTGACATAGTTATTTAATTATTTTTGTAAAAACTAATTAATTACCTAGTAATCACATAAAATTTCAACGGGTGGGTAAAACCCACCTAGTATCGCCACTAAAAAGAGGGTCTCTTATGAAAACAGTATGGTGATCAGCCACCAAAGACAGAATGACGTGTTTGACTTTAAACAATTCACTTTCGAAAACTAAACAATAAAACCAATGGTATAACTCTGCACTGCCTACTTAAAAATTATAATTGATGGGAGCCAACTAAATATCATACAAAAGTAATTATTTTCTTTAATTATTTTTGCAAATGTTCTATTTAATAAATTTTTCTGGCAATACTGGATACTAAAGTTATTTTTCTTCAATTTAGTTTTTATAATTGAAGAGTATAAACATTTATTTTATTTATTTATTTGAACACATAAATATTGGTACAAGAGAGCGCCAATATATATGCGCCACACAGAGTATAAACAAACAAATAGACAATCATAATACAGCTCAACATAGTTCTATCACGAATTGACAGTAGTAAGCTTTGAAAACTAAGATGGGTAAGGAATATCTGTTCTATTTTTGTTTGGGACTCTTCGGTAACGTGCACCTACGTCGCCCTCAAAAAGCGTTGGAATTCAAGTGTCAAGGTAAGCATAGCACTCTTTAGATTACCAAAACAGAAGATACCAGTTTTACATTTTTAACATCAATAGTAAAAAGTTGTGGTAAAGGGTGGTGATTCTGAACCAATACATCGGCGATATAGCTTTCATTTCTTATACAACTCACCCCAAGGCAAAAAAAAATCGATAGAAATGCATATAAATGACAAGAAAAACAAAAATGAACAAACTAATTAAGTGGTATTAGACAGAAAAGCAATATTAAGCATACCAATATCCTCGGGCGAATAAACTCTTTTTGAATGTAAATGAGACGATGATTTTTCATTTTTATTAGTAGTAGGATTAGTAGTCTGGCATTTACGCCAACGTGGTTTCATGTCCAATGTGTTAGAATTACACTGCGTTCTGGAACTGAGAAAGTATTGAGAGCAAAAAAATGAAAATCAGTGCTATATATTAAAAAATCTGTTAAAATAACGTAGACATACTCCTAAAAATAGATATAAATTCTTATAGTGATATCGAGTTTTCTAAGCTAAATGATCTAACTGAGGAGCCTTTATTATCATTCTGGACATTTTCAGCACTTATTTCATGCCAAAGGCATCTACTTGAAGTGCAAATTTCTGCCATTCCAGATGAACATATATTTAACAGCAAATCGCTGAATCCACTTTAACCACAGTATAAGGAAAATGACAATGAAATTAAATAATGTTTGCTTAATAATAACTAAAATTATCAGTCTTAAGATTAACTGGAGAATCAGTTATATTCCTCAAACTTTGCTACGAATATTCCCGTTGATTCTGACAGGCTGGTATAAGATAGAACTTTAGAATTCAGAAAAATTATTTGCTTCTGATTGGTTCGCAATCAAAGTTGGTTTGTAGTAGTACTGATAGCTTTCGATATTAGTAAGTAGGGCTCATAGCCTGTTTTATATATGAATTTTTACGTGAATAATAAGTGTACGTATTTATTCTTCAACAATGTTGTCAGTAACTGACAATCCTATAATCCATCTTCATAAAAATCAAGTATCATTCTAAAAGATAATTAATCCATATTTATTTTCCAAGTACAGGGTTATACAGTTAGCTGAGTCATACTTGCGTTGCATGAGGGCTATTGATACTGGTTTACTGCCTAAAATCGAGAGATATAGTGTCGTTGTATGAGTTAACAGCTAAACTATCATAAGGTTTACGTCTTAACCAAAATAAGCTAAGACGTATAGGGGTGTTGAACTTAAAATTCTTATTAAGAAATTTAATATTAGTTTTGCTTTAGTACCAAGCTCATTAGTCCGAAATACCAATATTTTAAGAAGTATTAGTATACTCAATAAAACTTGAGTCTAAAAACATTCACTAATATAGGTTGATTAATTCAGTTGCATGACTTATAGAGAGTTAAGAACTTCATAAATACGTTAACCTTGATGTTTTTACCCTACTGGTCCGAGTAACATCTACGTTGAAGAAAAAGATGAATATAGGTAACACTTAAATAAATGCAGTTAGAAGAAAAAACTTGGTAGAACAACTCAGGTCAAATACTCATTAAATAGTATGTTAGTGAGAAACTTGGTGACACTGAGACACCTATACAAAGACATTATGATGAGACTACCCTAGTAACTAGTTTTATTAGTCTAGTACTATGCTGTGAAATTGTGATCGCAGAATACAATAAATTTTATTTGATTCTACAATCATATATAAAAACCAAGACGATTACTATGTAGACTGACATTGTAAAATAAAAGGTGAACGCCTAGTTAATATTCACAACACTAAATAAAGTAAAGCTTGAAGGTTTTATGAACTGTTACTCAGCTTGTAATTGCTGCGGTTATTTCCTATCCTGTTTTACATTCCTCAATAAGACCAAGTTAGTAAAACTTCATACGTCTTAGATGGAAAGCGCAAATAACCCATAAGAGTAAACATGAAAATAAAGGCAAAATTCATAGTGAAATAAAATATGATTAAGAATAATTAATTACCATTTGTCATTTTCATGTCTATCTCCGAATCTATTCAACATATCATTCACGGTATCTTCGTCCCAACGCTGAAGCAATACATTTCTTAAACTAACACCCGTCTCCCTAGATGTGTCAACACAACGAATGAATGACTTATACAACCATGATTTATTATGGTCTGTCAAAACAGATTTTGAAGAAGTCTCACTATTTGGCAAACCACTCCCTCCATCTTTCAAGTAAGGATTAAGCTCATTTATTTTGTAGCTATTATTCTGACTACTTTTCGTTGCTTTATTCCCGCTTGGCTTTGAACTAAATGTATCAAAAAAGCAGTCCAGAGATTTGACATCAGTGATCCAACTATTTTCCTAAAACAAAAACGATTGATTATTAAAAATATCTCGACTTACCTGTACGTCACTTTTTTTAGTAGATTTTTCTTTTGGACTTTGATCATCTTGTTTCCATTCATAATCACTCTCTGATGACTAAATTAATGACTGAATATGTTACACAAGAACCTACAGAATCATCAGTGCTTGATTTTCTATGCTTTCTTTTTTGCTTTTGTTTTTTGTGAGACATTAAAATATGTTGATAGTGATAAATCCTGGAATATAGCAGATATTTCGACCGATTTCAGAGCACTGAAAATATCAGTTTGACAATAACATAATGCGTTAATGACAAAAATAGGATGAGGAATTCTATCGATGGACATAATAATTAATTACTGGAAAATACCATCAGTTGATGTAACTGTATTTAGTTTAAATGTTCAAACAACCGAAATCAGGTACAAATTAATTTCTTTAGAAACATGAATGTTATGTTTAACGCACTTTTACGAAAAGTCTATTAAGTGGACTTGTGATGGTGGTTTCAAGACCATTTTGTATTTGAAATTGTTTATTTTTGGCTAACTGTAATCACAGTGATACTGGGCAAATTCGTTTGATGTTAGACATGTGTGGAGAATATGACGTCTCAAATTACAATGAGGAAACAAAATCAGTCTATAAAAATTTGCATATCAATCTAAGGTGGTTATTGACCAGCTACTGTGATTAATTACTCGAAATGAATTATTTTATTGATTTTTGGTGTATTACCAGTTGCATTATTTAATTTCGTATAAATTTAGTTTGATTTTTGATGTGTTTTCCTTTGCATTGGTTAAGACACTGTGATTTGTGTTCAGTGAGAACTGATGAGTTGGTAAAATCGATATATAATTCGACAAATTTGAATATAACTGAATTTCTTCAGAGTCTATCAAGAAAATCTAAACGCAAACTTTATCTAGCAGGCAGAAAGAAAGAACAGAAAGTCTCACTCATCATATTGAAGTTGAGGTTGAATATAATTAGCTTAGTGCACAAGCGCATCAATCTGGAGCATACACAACCAGTAATCTCATGAGCTGTCCCAAGCTGCCGATTCTGGGGAAAATTTGGCTCATTTTGAAGAAGCTACTATAGTAAATTTTGGGGAAATTCGGGGGAAATGAGACCCAAACCCCAAAATTTCCAAACGTTGGGAGCTTGTGGTTGGACTTTAGAAGTCTGTGTTTCTTACTATATAGAGTAGATCTGGACTTAACTTGTTTTTTTACCAGCTGGTCAAGCGGGCATAGTTTGTAATCTCTTGTTGTGAGGAAACACAACAGACACAACAGTACATGTGATCATATAATAAACAGAATAAAAACTGAATATCTAATAATACTGAAACTTACTTCCGAAGAAATGGTATTCAGATGCTTTAAATTCATATAAGACCAGTGACGTATGGATCTAGGTGAACGCAACTAAGTATTATTCACATTAAAAAATTTTAGAGATGATGTTAAGCAAGTACATCTTATCCACTTCAAAAATGTTTCACGTAGTGACAGTCAAGTTTAGGTGACAACGTAACCTGATAATCTGATATAAGAGAAGCCGTTATTTGTCTCAACATACAAATACATATTTATAAGCTCGGCCACAAACTACACTATTTGATTAAAGGAAAAGTATTCTTTTCCAAACGCATATTACATTAAAAATCCATCAACACTATTTTCTTCAAAGCATTAAACCCTAAAGTCATTTTAACAGCCTTATTACCTTGAATCTCCAAATTTTAATGAGGTCTTCAGTATACTACCTATTAATTCACATTTACATTATTGTATACAATAATGTAGCATTCATAAAACTATAGTTTTATGAATGCTACGGCACACATCATATGAGGACAAAAACATATGACACGAAACGTAGCTTAAAATGCTTTACTTTGTTAAGACTGGCGGAAGTTAAAAAAACGAGATTGATATTAGAGAAAAAGTCAGGTTTCTGGGTGTTAAAGAAAAACACAACGTAAAGTATTGATTCTAATTCCCGCAGATTTACTACCCGAAGCAGTGATTTTCTATGTCCAATACGAATATTTCGAAAGTTTTTGAACGGAATAGAGACGACTTTCGTTCACTCGGCTTCCACACTCAGTAGCAGTTGATCACCCGTGCCCCTATATATAGACTTATGTACCAATAATGAAAAGAAGAGAAAAATTAGCGAATTATTTTGAAAAAATGTCCTAAATGTTTATGAATATATTAAATTTTCGCTTAGAGGGCTCCTAGAAATTTACTTACGCCACCTCATTCGGCAGCTATTTTCAGAATTTGACTGCTCGTAAAGAGTAAAAGGTGTACCTACAGTCCTTCCTGCCATGTTTAGTCCCTAATTTCTGGATTTTACCCTTAAGGTTTGTGTTGGGACTGAGCTTAAGTAAGTATCTCAAGAAATATTGGGAGTTCCATAAATTGCTGGAAGGTCACGTCTGAAGCGCATATACTCCAAAGGATAAAGATTCAGTGATTTGAATTTCCAAACTGACTTCGTGGCTTGCGCTTTGGATACGTTCCAGTGTATTCTTTTCCTTTCAGAGTGAGGGAAAACACTATACTTTAATACTCTGTGTAGGGTGGAATTAGACTAGCTAAGATTATTTGAAAAGTTTTGCCGTCAAACTGGCCAAAAATGCACTTCAACTTGGTGAGTGCAGGGTTTGCTCGAAAGCCATTCTTATTGAAGTTAGCGTAGGACTTTAGACCATAGTGTACCAAGACACCCAATTTTTTGTCAAAGTGGTATGCTCTTAGAGAGAAATTATCTAAGTTTCCGAAGCTTTTTTCAGTTTTTCACGTAAAAGCTAGTTCCGTTTACCTCACCCGTTTTTATCCATTTTGCCCGTTTGTAGTGTGCTTTTTAGTGTATTTTTAACGGTCTTAGGCTTTTGCTAGCATTTATAATACAGTTTACATCAATATAGTAATGAAAAATTCATGCCAACGACATGGATGCCGTTTTGCTGCTACATCTGGCACGCAGTGCGACAACTGCAAAGGTTGGTTCCACAGATCTCACAGCAACTGCTTACAACAGACTCATCAAGTCGGATCATAAATGAGAACGTGTTATGTCACTACATGCCACTATATATGCATTACCACTCGTGATGACGTGATGAAACTCAGCACCATCATAACGTTGAAGGTAATAGACTCCCTCAGCAAAGTCGGGTATCCCAGCACAGGGTCGTTGAATGCAGCAGTGGTTCCTAAAAACTTCCTAGGTGATTGGACTCACGTTAACAGAGCTAAAAAGGACCAGACGTCACCGTCTAAGCTGAACATCCCAGGTGTTGTACGGAAGCCAACTGGCGATTCGGTCGCATAGTCTACCCCTAAGAATATACGTCCGATTATCAAAGAGCCTAGGAATTGGAAAAGAGCTTCGACCTTCAAACAGCAAGGTGCTGAACCTGAACGCACAGCAAAACCTGGGAAAACAATAACAGTTCGTGATGACTTTCTCCTAATCATGAGCCTCAAAGAAAAGCCCTGATCTTCCTCTCAGTTTGCAGGACAAAAATGACAGGATGCTCTTGGGTGAATTAAACAAGAAGCTTGAACTTCCTAGAATAGAGCCTTTGACGGTCGCACGGCTCACTTGGGGAAAGGAATATAAGCATCAAAATCACATGAGGCTACTTCGTGTAACACTTAAGAATGCTAATGACGTAGCGGATGTCATGCTAGCTAGTCATTTACTGAAATCCAATGGAAACGTAAGAATACTACCCGATATACCGTATTCTGAGCGCAATCTCATCCGGAGCACTCCTAAAGAATCTCGCGAGAATTTTTTCCGCGGGAGCACTATCATTGTGCAAGGCGTACCGGAAAACACGGAAATAGTCAAAGAAACTTTGACATTAGGGAATGGAAATTCATCAAACAGTCTTTGAGACTCAAAAACATACTGACTCAACATGTGATGAGACTAGCCAAGAAGGACGGAGACTCTAGATCCCGGCTAATGACGATAACTTTCCCATCCTCCAGTATGGCGGCTGCAACTCCGGAAGCGTTTCGTGCCAACAGACGTCGGTTGCCAACTGGAATCCACATGAAGCTAGGACCATATACAGTGTTAGTGGGACATAGACTGGATTAAAGGATGCTCAGTGCACGATTGCTTTGGTGCACGCTGATTGGCTAATTCTCGTCCAATCAGCGTTAGTCAATACTTAGTGAACACTCTAGAAATCTCATGTGAAAAACTATAAATATACTAACGTTTTCCCTATTGTGTTTCTTACTTGCTTCCTACTTCCATCTAACCTTGTTATTTGGAATATAATCTCTGTCCTGTTTCAACAGTGTTCTGACTTGGGAACTTGTCGAGTGAATCGGTGTCCGAGAATACTAAGCAATAGGAATAGCTGAGTCATAACCATAAAAAAGAGATTATAACACACAGAGGCAAGTTGGAGCTGATCATTCCGCTTGTGGACTGCCTCGATAATAAAAAAACGCATAAAGGACAGGGCCTACCAACTCGGCAAACCCTATATAGTTAGACTACCTATCCCTTCACGTAAGGCTCATACAGACAAACAGGAAAAAGCTCACGCGTTTCAACTTAAGAGCATAAACTGTTTATAAATGAAGCCGCGAGTCTACCAGACAAAATGGATGAGCTACGTGGACTTAGCAATGTTAATAAGAATATCTGAATCTTGAATATCTTCTCAGTTCTCGGACCAGGAGCTAGCAATACCTGGAATATCTTTGTTTCGCAACGACAGAAAAACAGGAATTGGGGGTGGAGTAGCCGTATACATACGATCTTGCTTAGAGGCACACCAAGTTCATAACCTCGAGTTTAACAATCTTGAACGATCCATGTGGTGCTCTGTAAGTTTGTTTACTACTTCAAGGTGCTTAGACGGAGTCATATATAGGAATCCCACTGTCGACATCCAGTATGACAGTTGTATGTTGGTAGGACTATATCTCTCTGCGCGTCTCGATTTCACGCATATCCTGATTCTAGGGGACTTCAGTCTCCCTAGAAATGATTTCACGGAACACATTTATATTGGGTGCGAAAACTCAACTGAAGCTCGGTTCTTCAACCTCATTGAGGATTTGGGATTGTACGAAAATGTGAGGTCGGCAACTCGTTGGAGAAACAGTCAGACGCCATCGCGCTTAGACTGTGTATTCACAAACGAAGAATTTATAGTTGACAACCTCTCAATCATGGCTCCCCTGGGAAAAAGTGATCATGCCGTCATAGCCTTCAGTTTTGTCAGCAAAACTAAGCTAAAATATCCCACCAATTTCAAACGGTCGAATGTGTCAGCTCTACATGATTATCTACAACAGGTGGATTGGGATGCTCACCCCCAACTCCCTGTGGATACTCGTGACTTCTTACTGCACATGCTCTTATGTGCTACAAATCATTCAGTTCCTCAAACGGTTCCCAAAAGCTGCAAGCCACTTACAGTAATCAAGAACCGTACCCTTCGCCTGCTAAGCCGCGAAAGGCACTGTTAGGCGGAATACAAACGAACTGACGACGACAGAGCGTACAGGCAATATAAAAATATCAGGAACATATGCACGAAGGCTATAAGAGAAGATAGGCTTCAGTACCAGACAAAGCTTATGGACGAATTTGCCTCCACATAAGAAAAGACATTTGTCCCGGCCCAGATATGGTTCATTCTGCTATGATGAGGGAAGCAGCCTCAATCCTGGCGACTCCGCTTAGTACGATGTTCTCACAAACGCTAAGCCGAGGCAGACTACCAGAAAATTGAAAGCTAACTCACATCACACCAATTTCAGTCTATACCTTGAAAAATCAAGGACTCCCTGATGTGCGATGGTATACTATCCACTGTCTTTATATTTCTTCTCACCCCAACAGCATTGTTTCAGGAAGATTTACTTTTGTAAAACCAATCTGCTAACTGTGTTAGACAGATGGACAAACATCTTTGAGCGCAAGGAGAAGGTTGATATAATTTGCTTGATTTCCCAAAAGCTTTTGGTAGGGTCAACCATATATGTCTTATCAAAAAGCTCAAACGATTGGGTATCAGATCACCTCTTATCGATTGGCTGACTTCATACCTGAAAAGTCGATATTTTAAGGTCACGGTTAACTTCATTCTATCTAAGGCAATGGAATGTCCTAGTGGGGTCCCCCAGGGCTCAGTACTAAAACCTCTTCCTTTCTTAATTTATATAAATGATCTCCCACAACAGGTATCGTCAGACTTATTACGTTTTGCCGATGACGTGAAACTTTGGTGTGAGATAAGCAACTAAGAGGATATACTGGCACATTAAGAGGATCTGATTCGACTTCGAAGTTGGGCAGATGATAACGGACTTACCTTCAACACTTCAAATTGTAAAGTAGTCCATTTTCAGCATGTTGCAGACTACAGCTGCAACTTAGACGACTCAACTCTAGAAGTATCTCGAGTCGAAAAATATTTAGGAGTCCTGGTATGCTACTGTTAGAAGTCTTAAACTGACCGTAACAAAAATGCCTTTCGAGCAAACCTTGCACTGATAACATTGAAGCGCATTTTTGGCCAGTTTGACGGAAGAACTTTCCACATAATCTTCGACAGTTTTATTTGTCCCCATTTAGGGTACGGAAACATAGTATTTCCTCTCTCACTCCAAAACGATAAGGGCACTCTGGAGCATATCCAACGGCGAGCCACGAATTCAATTCGAGGACTGAAATTCAAGCCTAATGAAGAACGCCTCCAATCGCTTAAACTTTGCCCATTAGAATACAGGCGTCTCAGAGGTGGCTTTCTAATGGCCCACTGTATCCTTAACATTTCTGAACACCCCTTAAACATTTACTTAAGCTTAGTATCAACACAAACCTAAGGGATAACAACAAGAAACCGGAGGCACAACACAGTGGGACGGACTGTATACATAAATTCTACTCTTTAGGATTTGTCAAATGCTGGAATTCGTTACCGTCTGAGCTAGTCCAAGCGACTTCGCAGAAGTCATTTAAGAAGAAACTTGAAGTATTCTTAAGGACTAAGGATAACATCTTGTTATGATTTGGCAATTTCTTTTTTCCTCTATTATCGTTAATATACCTAGTCTCTTGTTTGAAGGTGTTAGTGACCCACTGCTATTAGACACAGAAGCCCGTTGATTGACAGTTGCTTTGAGTTTGATATGCTCTTGAACTGTAGGAATGATGATCTTTATTTGTCGTTCATTGCCTCTACGTCTTCATCAGGTCCTCCACGTTCACCGATGATGCTGTCTAGGTATGTAAATAATTTCACTTCTTCCAGGGTTTCTCTATCAAGTGTGATTGAGTTAGTGCTGTCGAATAAGCCTAGTCTAGAGCATGTTTCTAGAGAATATACTCACGTGTAATGAACTGCAGTCAGCAATCTGTTCTACCTTTACATAATTATCAGTATTTTTAAGTATTAACATAATTTTTGATAATAATTCATGTCTATTATCAGTTTTTAAATCCAATTACGGCTAAGCAACAAGAAAATTTCCCCGCGACCAGAAAAACATGTTGAAGTTAACAAACTAGCTGGAACACTAGTTGCAATTTTTCTTCTGTGCGGTTATACTTAGAATTTAAACCATAGGTAATAACAGTATCAAAATGTCCACAATATGGATTATTTGTTTCTTTACGCGCATACTATACGGCGCCTTGACGTGACTTGGTAAAATATATTATACTAACTCACCCTTAATTCTTATAATCCCACTTCATTTAATTCTTAAATAATCTTAACATGGATTTACATTTCGCTTGTTTGTAATAGGACCAAAATTTTGAAATTGTTACATGTATTTTAAACCAGTTACAGCTGACTTTATGTTTATTTATCATTCAACTTATTAATACCCAGAGTATTGTTACTATTCATTAGGCAAACTCTAGCGCTTAACACTCTTACTCGATATGCATCGTATAAACGTCAAGTTGATCCTAATAGGAGAGTAGTGTAGTGGCATTGGTTCATAACCACACGACTCTCGAAGATGAAAATATGATTACTGAGAAGTTTGACATCCAACATATAACACTAGGAGGAGGTTGGCAGTGGTGAACGCTGGAGGATAGCATTCAAGATGGTATGGCTATGCCATACAGACATGGTCACTAACTAAAACCCACTGAGTTTGTATTAAACACATTACTTTCTATCCAGTCAAAGTATGTTCTTCAGAAAAATGTGTTGATATGTAGCTGACTCTTAAGATACGACGAATCAGAATAGACGATGTTGTGACTTCCATGTAAAATCTCATAGATTAGGCATTTGAATTATGACAGACCTATAATTATGAGATAAGGTCCATTATTATAGTAAAACCAACATCGAACTAAGACCATAATTTCATAGAGGGCAACCAACTCTGGGGTCACACCTCACAGTTAGTAACTAACGTGAATTATCCTTTCATCTAATCCAAGTACTATTGTTCCCTATGATGACGGTACGACACAAACGACGTTACTGTAGAAATGAATTAGTAGAAGTAGATGCAAGGGATAGAATAAGACAACTGCTGCATGTAAACGTACATGGCCTAGGATTAACTGATCACTGTTGATTGTCGTCGACCTTGACGTGGATCGTTGCACTGTTCGACATCCACTGACCCAACTGCCGAATGATTCGGCTAGGGCGTGGTGATTTTTCATTGAACCTATAGTGTTTTCCCTGTTGCATTTAAAGATCATGTTTTTTCCCTTGTGTAAGTTGAAGCCTACTGATGCAGAAGCTTCTTTCACATATTTTTGTCTTCGTCTGCGCTTATTTTTGTGTATAGGATAGAAGAGCTAGGCCATCTACGACGTCCAGATCGTCTAGTTGCATTCTGACTGTGCATGGTATTCCATCTCTCCACTGAGATAATCACTATATTCTAGTCATTAAACAAGGAGGTAGAAAATATGAGAGTATCGTATATTAACGTATTGAATGAAAACTGACTTTCATGATATCGAAAAGAATTGGTTCTAATGTAAGTCATGTAACCGTTTTTAAAAATCGAGTAATACTTTTTCGAGATGAATTAATTTCAGGCGCGGTTACCAATCTTCATGAAACTTTCAAGGTCAGCGTTATTTTGTGTAAAGAAAACCCAATAAATATTCCAAATCAAACATACCGCAGTTATTTCTAACAGTACATTGCTAAAATTGCTTCTTTTTGTTTTCATAAGCAAATGCAATTTAAGTAAATCATGTAGGTTGATAGTTATTGTTATATCCGCTAATGTTATGATATATTAGGAAATTCCTTTTTTGATTTATTTTAAAAAGTTTTGCCTGGGGGTTTAGGTACCTGGGTTCTTTGTGAAAGCTTCCGTAAACCTCATTTTCCTGCGCCTTAAAGTTATGCTGGTTTCGGAAACTACGAGCAAATTTGTTATTAGTTCACAAGGTCTTTAGTATGATACCTTGACTATTTCTTACACTATCTTACCTTACTTCAGTCATATTTTATTTAGCCGTGTCTGCTTAAAACCAGTTATATAGGAGGACTTGATGGCACTAAAGTTCTCGGTTCACCTGTATTCTGTTATTCTCGCTGATTGTGATGCATTCATGTGTTTCTCTAAAACATTCTAATATCAAAACGTTATGATCAAAGCTTCAGTTGTGCGTGTTCTGGCTCACCACAGACGAATCACTGTTGTCAATGATGAGCAAGCTTTACTAGTTTTGTTGGACGGAATGGTGAGACTCTAATTTAGGGACGAGATAATCAGAAGCGTTTGAGCAATTTCAAGTCCACGGAGCCAAGTTCAACGCACGATCCTAACATACGATCGGTTCACAGCGGATTTTAGAGAGGAGGTGATTAATGAGAGGTTACAACAGATGGGACGGCGAGACTCTAATTTAGGGACGAGCTAATGAGAAGCGTTTGAGCAATTTCAATTATTAGCCAATCAGAAGACAGTATGAAGTAAAAATATATTATAAGAAAGTAATGAATTACAGTGGATATTCTTCTTTTACATGACTAAAAAACTTGTTAAGGTTTGATAAAGGTTCAGAAGTTCTGAATTCATAATGCATATGGTATAGAAACTCGTCCATAGTGTTAGGGTTTAGGGCTAAGGTTATGGTTAGGTTAGGGTGCTAACATGCGATCGGTTTACATCGGATTTTAGAGAAGAGGTGTTTATTGAGAGGATACAACCCTAACCCTCCCCTAACCCTGACACTAACCATAACCCTTACCCTAACACACCCTAAACCCTAACTATAGGCTACAACACTAACCCTAACCACTAACCCTAACCTCTAAAATCCGTTGTAAACCGATCGCTTGTTAGCACCCTAACCCCTAACACTATGGATGAGTTTCTATAACATATGCATTATGAATTCAGAACTTCTGAACCTTTATCAAACATTAACAAGCTTTTTAGTCATGTAAAGGAAGAATATCCACTGTAATTCATTACTTTCTTATGTTTTCACTTTATACCAACTGTCTTCCGATTGGCTAATAATTGTCAAGGTCATTTAAGGTTCGTTCAAAGGTCGTCCCTAAATTAGAGTCTCGCCGACAGAATAAAAGACTCAGATTTGTTTATTTAAGACAGAAGATATACAGCCTTTGTTATTCTTTTTTTATCATGCTTCTGTGAGTGTCTAGCCTTCTCTTGAATGAGTCAATTGGAGGTGCGGACAACACTGCTTCGAGTAACAGGTTTCAAGAATTGATGACTTGGTGTAAAAACCTGTATGCCATGGGTATTTCGTTTGTTCCTGGCTTTTCTAATCGCATGCTATGTCTTCTGAGTTGTCCCGATCTGGTAGGAAAAAAAGGATATATTAGGTCCAAATTCATTTCTTAGTATTTTATACTTCAAAATCAGATCATCTCTTAATCTGCAGTAGGACCGAGTAGAGGTCTAGCTTTTCCTACCGCTTTTTATATGGCAAACCTCGGAGTTCTGGAATTGCACGGGTAGCTGCCCTCTGTACTTCTTTCGGGATATCCGAGTCACCTTTTAAGCAGTGGCTTCCAGTTTGAGCGCGCTTTTCAAGTTTAGTTCTCACCAAGATTGTGTGTACTGTAGTGAACGTAGCAGTACCTAACTTCATTAATGTCCGTCTTAAAGTCCACAGGGTTTTAAACCCCTTAGCTGAAACCTCGCGGCAGTATGGCGTGGTCTTAAAGTCGCGTTTCACTGTCACCCCAAGGTCCTTGTTAGACCGGGCCGTGGGTACAGGCACTTCCCCTACGCTGTACCTATTTACCTTTGTATCGTCAAAGTGCATGTAGACACAATTGTCCGCGTTGATAGGCATCAGCCTTTTTTCAGATCAGCTAATCGTCGTCTCTAAGTCTGCCTGGAGTGCTCATGTATGTGTCTCCTGTTATTTCTCTAGATTTTTACATCAGCATATAGTAGCATTATGAACTCAACTATACTTGAGAGTTCATTTACATTCATTATAAAAAGTAAAAGATCTAGGATGGAACCTTGAGGTACTCCACTAAGTACTAGTTTCCAGGCGGAATACTTGGAATCTACTTTTACTTCCTTTCTACGACTTAACATTTATTTATTTATTTAAACACAAATATTGGTACGAAGGGGCACCAGATACATATGTGCCACACAAGTCATTTGATCTCTGTGTGGGCTGAGATACTGCCTGCGTGCCCAAACACAAACAGGTGATTTTCCTAGGAAACACACCCGGAGCCTTCTACCTACAGGTCTGATCCACAAGTCAGTGAAGCAACGTCAGGAGATACAGTCCCATGGTAGCCTGTGATCAACAGTTAGTTTTCTACGGGATGGGAACGCTAACTCCATGCCCAACTCTCCTCCTTTATCCGGGCTTGGGACCGGCAGTAGCCCCCGGATGGACTCCAGGCGGAGTTGACTGTGGTATGAAGGGATGTATTATTTATCCGAATATGGCTTTTAACGTACTTCAATCGACTGACCTAAATTATATGTGTCGGTCCAAGTTGAAACACCTCATTAGCACAAGATGAATACTATATTCACAGAAGTAGTTACTTCAATGGTCGTAATATATAAAAGGATGATTTCATATAAAGATATGATACAGGGAGAAAGAATTATTTGTTGGAAAGAAAGATATAAAGCAATTTTAATCTTACTGTTTAAGGGCAGACAGAGTGTATACACCTACGTCATTGTTATCGATTTTGAGTCATGTCACCCTGAGTCTCCAAACATTGGCTATGATAGTCGCGCAGACCTTAACCAAGTAGTCTGTATCTACCAACATGGCTAATACCAGAGGTTATTAACTTCAATGACTAATGCCACGTTTTAGTTTGGCCGCCCCTAACTGTCTTCCAATCATCCCCAACACTAGTCCGCATTGCGCGTCGTGGTAATCGGTGTTCAGGCATACGTAACACGTTGCTCAACCATCTCAGTCGATGAAGATTCACAACCTCATCAACTGATTTACCATCATTCCCTAATACCATGCGTCGAATCCCACTATTACTTCCCCGGTGATCCCAACAGATGCAAGCAATATTTCTAAGACATCTGTGGTCAAATATTAGTAGCTTACGAGTATCTCCTACTCTTAATGGCCATGTTTCGCTGCTGTAAATTAAAACAGAACGAACTGCCACGCAGTATACTCGTCCTTTTATTGATAGACGGACATCTCGCCTTCGATATATGTGACCGTTGCTGCTACCTTGACGTGGTGGTTGGGCTTGTTTATCGTGCTGAACTAATCGGGCTATAATGTCTGGAGCAGTCGTTCTTCAAGGTCTCACCATGCCAGATAAGTAGGTCAAAGAGCGGTAAGACTAAAAGCAACAAACCCAAGGTCTGGGGGCGAAGTGGTACTGCTGACTGTACAGGGGTGTAACGGCAGTAAGGTGTTTCCTTCAAATAACCAGCATAAAAGCGATGTTGCCTTTACACAGAAGATTGGGGTTAGAAAAGGTCGACCCCAAAAATGCACACCGCCTTATCCCACGGACTTTCGTCTCCAGCAGTAAGGTCCCAACAAGTATGAAGCTAACACGAGAAGTACTAAAAGGTCTTGTGTGACTGAGCTCAGGCAGTTGCCCCCTTGTGCACTGCGGTCACTCACTCAGGTCACTAAGACCACCTCTAACCCAGTTTTCTTTTCAGGTACCTCTTGAAGAATCCTTCCACGGTGTGGGCAACCAGGAAGTAGTAACCGCCCTCATGCCTCTAACAGCACTCAAGATCACTGTATTCATATTTAATAATACCGCGTACTTACTAGTTATCCCTTTGAGAAAAGTTCGTGTAGAATCAAATATCAAGACCAATAAATATGTAGATTGGTAACTGAAATTATATACTTCAGTGCATAACACGGGATAGTCTTTTCAGTACGCTCAACAAGATGTAAAACCTGCCTAATTATTCAATGACATGGCTCATAATCGTTTGCAATAGTACTAGTGAATCTATTCTTTGTCTTTCCTCAGGTTTTAAGCTTCATAACTTCTCACGATGCTTTTATTTCATTAATTTATATCTTCTCAAGTCGTATCTTCGATGCCTAATCCTTTACAAACGAGACTACTGCTATCCTCTTCTTCCCTGCTTTTTTAATCGAAGTAAGCAGTGTAGTTGTCGTGAGGAAGCTTTATTGATCAAAACCCAGAAGAACACAGAATATATTCAACATAATCAGTTATATGTCAATTACAACGATTATAGTTTAGTAACTGAGTAGTTTTTAATTGAAACGAATCATAGTAAAAATGGATTAAAGGTCATGAATAATATTCGGACTGAATAAATTAATGTAACAAAAAGCCATCTCCAATCGATATTGGTCTCCTTCCTCGTAAATTGTATTTATTGCACAGCCCTCTCTAGTTCACTTGAAACTGAATATCCCGCCGTCGACGTCGGTTCGGCCATCTTTTGGGATGTAGGTCTACTTGTTTTGGAGGTATCTCCTGTTTTTCTTCTAGTGTGTCGTTCAGGGGTTGTAGTACTCTGTAAATGTATATTAATATTTACAACGGTGTTGCTTGTTGCTATCGTATGTCGGATGATATTCGTCTTCGTTACTGATTGCTATTTCGTTATGTTTTCCAACCACTGCGTCATACAATACCTGTCACAACCCTCGTTTCACACTCCTATTTATCCATTTGTCTTTCATCGGTCTATGATCTTGGAAAAACACATGACTTCGAATATTAAAGCTTTTAATGGGACCATTTTTCTACTAGTAATCATTCCCGGTAACATCAGATGTTGAGTTGTTCTCAGTCTGCGACACACTAAGACTTCCGATAGCGATTTCTATTTTAGTAATTCATCACTTGATATAGTTTTGTACATTAAAAAAAGATCGTGCAATATATCAGTGGGCAATCAGTGGAGATCAATATGCACCCAATTGATCCAGTCCCGTACAAAAATTATCAAAACATTCTTTCATTGGTCATAATCTGAACACTACTCAAGGTGAAACGAAGTATTTGATATTTTATATTAGTAAGCCAGTTTTACTCGGTTAAAAACCAAAATAAACATGATTTGCAATAAAATCTAAGATTATGTGAAACAAACTAAAACTACCACCTTCTCACGAGTGTTGCCGCAGAAGGATTCCGCATCATTTTTTGAGGGAGGTAATACGATGCCCAAAGATTAGGTCCAGCAGTTAAGTCCTAACTGATTGGATAATGAGTGACCCATAAACTAATTTCCTCTAATTCCCTATGACATTTTGTCATGCTTATTTTGTGTATAAGCGTGTCATTTTATGATACAAAACCCATATCATCTAGCTTGTAGTCTTGTTTATGATTTCTAATCGTTCGAGGGCTTAGGTCAGTAGTACGGTTTTATGGTCAATCCTCACTCAGCTTCATCATATCATCGCGTTCATTTATTCATTGACATTCGATATGTCAATTTTAACAGACGGAAATTCCGTATTACCAGTTCATCAAAAATTTCCATAATAATAGCACAGGCTATTTCGGTAGGAAAATCGCCATTATAGTTTGTTTATCTTCCAACTTATCTCGGGGCTGCAATTGATATGGCTTCTAAGTGTTTCATATACCGGAAAGGAACTGGTCAACTCAATTCCGTCCTACTTTATGGCAATGAAACATGACCAGTAAGAGTAGAGGATATTCGTAGGTTACTAGTATTCGATCATAGGTGTATTCGAAACATTGCTCGTATATCCTAGGACCATCGTGTAAATAACGCGGTTGTTAGGAAACGGGTACTAGGTAAGGATGGCAAATCAATTGATGAAGTAGTGAAACTTCATCATTTGAGATGGCTGGGACACGTGTTACGTATGCCCAACCACCGACTGCATAGACGTGCTATGTTTTATGGTGTATGAGTAGATTGGAAGAAAGCTAGGGGCGGCCAGACCAAAACATGGCACAAGTCCGTGAAGTCACTGACAAGTGGACTGAGTCATGTTGGTAGGTGTAGACTACCTGGTTGAGGACCGCGAGATGATAGCAACCGATGGTTAGAGACCCTGAATGACATGGCTCAAAATCGTTTGCAATGGCGCAGGTGCATACACTCTTTGTGTCCTCCCAAATTCTAATCTCCTGATTCTTCATTGCCTCTCCTTTTTTCTTCCCAAATTTGTTTCACCGGATTATGCTTTTTAAATAACATCTCCAAACCCTAACCTTTCCGATTACTGCTTATACTCCTACTACCTCTATCACTACGGGATTTGAATCGACCACTGCATTTCTGTGCTAATGTGGTGTAGCAACTTGAACTGATGTACGTACGTACGAACTTCTACGTTGTTGCCGACTGACTGACTGATTTCGGACTTCGACTGTAAATTCGTGTTTATCTAGAAAATGTCAATCTTATGTCTTGTAAAATATATTTGTTCTCTTATAATAATCATAATGAACTAGATGGTTTATCTTCGATAAAATCAATGATAAATTTTAATCTTTTTCAAAATCATCATTCCAAAAAACAGCCAACTTGTTGAAAAATCTACCCGCAAGAATCAGTTACGATGACTTCGAATTCCCTGATAGAAGCGGGCTCAATTGTTATGCTTCGAGCCATAGAACTTGAGAAACAATTAAAATTTACTGAAAGTTTGACATGCTATGAAGAAAGTATTGGTTTATTCATCAAAGCTCTGCGTTCTATTCCTGATAATACACGTAATATATACTTGTTTACACTACTAAATTCTTGTTTTTAGAACCAGAATTCAAAGACAGATTCAGACTGAAAGTTTCAGAGTATATAACCCATGCAGAAAAACTTAAGGAAAAACTTAAAAAGGAATCAGAAAGTCAGTTAAATTTAAAAAAACTATCTCATCTTATTTTCATATTAGATGGAAATTATCACGAACAAATTGTTATAGAAGAAGGTGCTACTGGTTACAGTTACAAGAAGGTTTTTGGAAGATTTCTTGAAGATGGTACAGTAAGGAAAGTTTGGGTGGAAGATCCGTATATCAGAAATAGTTATCAAGTTAACCAAAATTTTTCATATATGCAAAACTGTCTTTAATTAGATTGAGAATTTTTCTCACTTTTGTGAAGTCATCGTTCAATCAGTGTCGAAGGTGAAAAATATTTATTTAACCACCGGAGAAGATGCCCAGGTTTGTTAATTTGTCCACCTTTAATCCATTTAATCCGAGTCAAAAATCAGTTTTCGTTATATATATATTTTCTACCACTATGGAGTATATCTTTTCAAATTCTTATACATTGATTAGAAATAATTTTCAACTCAAAATATAATTGAAATTAATCGATGAAGGGTATGATGAGGCTTATATGGCTTCAGACGTCTCATCACCAAATTTGTATTATTCTTCTCACACTTGTGATTTTTATGGCCTTGTAAAAATACGTGACTTATTTGGTTTATCATAGGACTTGCCATAGTTTCGCACCGATCTACCTGTATCAGTGTAATAGACCCCTCATCGGTAATATCTTATTATTAATACTGATTACACTTCGCTTTAACAAGTTAGTGCAATGAAATGGCAAGTACTGATTGATTTAACGAGCATTGAATCTTACACATTTGTAAGAGTTAGGGACTGAAGTAGATAGAGCAGGAATCAAATATTCTACCTAGTAGTGGTTAAATCATTCAAATATATATACACACATCTGTTACTACTGAAAATCTGTAAACGTAACCAACTTGGGAAAAGTAATGTCGTCAATCAACGTCACTTCTCATCAGTACAGCAAAAGAAGATTAACACTATGAAATTACTACCAATGTCCTTCATAAATATTCAGTCAACTTAGTATTTCTCCATTTACTGTCATTTTTTGATCATATACGTATATTTGCTAAACATATCAGTTGATAGCTAGTTAACATTAGTTTTACTCGCATATTAATCGTTTATAAATAAATGGATAAGAATTTAGCCTTTTATTTTGATTATTAAAATTACCGTTAACACTATAAGTTGGCATCTATTTGTAGTGTACATAACTTAGTCTGTTCGTTTTCGTATAATAGGCTGTTATAATTTTCCGAAGGATAGCTATACTGTCTGTTTACGTAAATCATGAGTGAAGTGGTTGTCAATCCAATTGACCTGTTGACCGAAAATGACAATAACTTCACAACTTCATCATTTATTTAATTTCACAAACCGGGATACAACTTTTTAGTTAATATTAAATTGGTAATCTAGCCAATTAAATTGAAACAACTTTCCAATGCAAATTAGTTAGTGTATTGTAAGTATTTCAATACCTCAAAAATAATTTATCCCACATTGCTTCTAAACCGTAGTATTTACCTTTGCTAAAGACTTCAAAATAATTTACGTTCACTGAGACTTTTTTGCCATGAAGTGTCTGTTAGCTATAATCAATCTAGAGCTTGACGCAGATGTACTCTGACTCGAGTTACTATATGGAATCAATACGATGAAATGAAATTAACGAGGTGCAGTAATGATAATGGGGAAGACTGAGAATGGATAATATAGTTTGAAATGGTATATATGAAGAAATATCGAAATTCATAATCTAAGAAAAGATAAACATTTAATGCAGATGTGCCACTGGAAACGATTCTTAATCATATCATTCAGCGTCTCCAACTACTTGTCGCTGTTATCATGCAAGTTTTAACCACATTGTCTCCACCTACCAATACGGTTCAGTTCAACATTTACCAAGTACATGGACTGTTGCTATATCGTCCACGGCTTTCTTTCAAGCTACTCCTGTTCCCACAACTAATGTCTGTGGTTGGAATAAACTAAGTATTTCCGTGTTATTTAGTGCGTTGATAATATTGTGGTTTACTCCTTGTATAGCGTCAAACTAGTTTTCAGAGAATAAAAGGTTTGGTGCTGTCATTCAGCGGTACTTTTAATAAGCTACTGATAACGACCAACCATGCAGTTTTCTATAAGAGTGTAATTTATCCCTTTTCTGTATAAGTGATTTTTATTGGACAAATAAATCCTATTCTATTATTATCATTATTTATTTATTTCTTCATTTATAATTACTATTTTAGCATCCAGATGAACAAATAGAAAAGTTTAACATGTTAAAGGGTGATCTAGAAAAGCATTCAGTTACTTTTGAGTGGACGTTCTCCGATACCTTACATGATCGAGAGATACGGTTAGTTAATGATTAGTTAGATAAAAAGTTGATTGTTGTTTCGTTTTGCTAGTCTCGGATTGTAATTGTTCGGCTTCATTTTAAACAGTCATCTCCCAACATTGTGGTCAATTCAAAAAGATTAGTGTATACATATGTCGTGAGGTTGAATATCCTTTTCCAATGTTCAATGTAAGTACGATACCTAGAATTTTTGAACATCTTTCTGTTCATTTAGTGGATTAGCGTTATATATGACAGCATGGTTTTCACTAAGGAATTCATTTAATGATCTGAAACTATCTAGATGTCTTCTACGAATTCCTCACTGTAGCGCCTCCCAACTTGCCGGATGAATAAAACAAATAAAGTGAACATTGGAGCTTGAAATAAAATCCTCGGTTAAAATTATATCCTTATATGCAGCATTCACCTATTAAATGAACGGAAAAATACTCGGAAATACTTGATGGCATACGCACATTAAATATTAAAAAGAGCTACAATCTCATGAGCAAATATCCTATTACTATGCATGTAATTTATTGGTTTATAGAAAATCAGAGTTCAGTGATATGTTTTGGTTTTTTGAGTATTTTCCTCTCTGTTGCGTTTTATAATTAGTCCTAATACGAGAAATTATTTAATTGGTGTTGATGTTTACACTGAAACTTGGACCAATTATTTATCTCTTGAAATATCAACATAATATCTACTTAACTATTGAGTCTAGGTAGTCATTAAATTGTTCAGCAAGTATAAAGGTTTTAAGTACGTTTGTAATTTCTTATTGTTGATATTCAAAATAGCAAGTGATCAGGTACTAGGTTCAAGTCTCAGTATAAATAACAACACAAAATTAGAGATATATCCACCTGAAAAGTCCCAGATAAGACTATATGTGCGTATCTTAGGTTCCACTGCTGACCACATAAAGAAATATACCAACCTCAAGCTATATCTAATTAATCCAATCTAAATTCATCTTGTTAACTTTTTTCTCTAGATTTGATATAATTATTAAATGTGACAGTTTCAATCAATCCACATTCATGCTTATGTTGTCACTATAACTTAGTATTGAACAAATCCCATAAAATTATTCACTTTATTCATGATCATCTATTTGTGTTTTGTTGAAAATATTTTCGTTTTATTTTTTTTGTTGCTGTTTTTAAAAATGAAAAATAGATTTGATAGTGGATGGATTGTTAAAATTGGTCGTGGATTGGATTATATACGTCGTCCTGAACATAAATTTTGTGGTCTCGGTGTACATGACTATGACTTTCGGACATGTTCTGCAACAACTATTGACATATTTCATTCTTCTATTTTACGTCAAGATACATAAAGAAATATATATGAACTTTCCTTTTTAAAAACTAATATAGTATATGATGTTATTATCTAATTACCCTGAAAATAAATCAGTAAGGGAATGATAAAACATCTTGACGACCTCAAACATACAACATTTCGATAACTTTCCATTATCATTAGTCTTTCATCTTTTCTTAAAAAGAAACTATGTTACAGAATCATTTTTTAACTTTAATAAGTTTTTTTCTATGTTTTTTACTCATTTGGTCGTTGTATTTATGTGTTAGGTCAAGGAATCATTTAATTTTAAGATTTGAAGCATTCAATAATTTTTTCTATCAACTAAACACTGGTTATCTTCGTAAGCAACGTAGAGTTTGGCGCATATATTCATTCTTTCATGTTGTCATACTATATTAAAACGGTGAGATGAAATTATTAAGATAAATGCTGGAATAGTAGAAATAGTAATAGTATCAGGAGTAGTGGAAAAGATTGAAGGAAGAGTGAATTTTTGAAGTTTTTTTATTTTTTTATTTGAACACATAAATATTGGTACAAAGGGGCACCAGATACACATGTGCCACACAAGTCATTTGATCTCTGTGTGGGCTGAGATACTGCCTGCGTGCCCAAACACAAGCAGGGAGTTTTCCTAGGAAACACACCCGGAGCCTTCCACCTATAGGTCTGATCCACAAGTCAGTGAAGCAACGTCAGGAGATGCAGTCCCATGGTAGACTGTGATCAACAGTTTGTTCATACACCATTTGTTCCTTCGGGGTACTGGAGCTCATGTGCACTATTGATTGGGAATCAGGGTTTTCCAACTCCCCTGTGTAGTGTCTGCATGTCCACCAACCCTGTTGAAGCACCGGACTTTCGCTTTTCGTTCTCTCAATTTTTTAGACAACACTGCTACCGCGAGAATACAGTGAGTAGGACTTTCCTGGTAGTGGCTCTATGCACATGGTCATGTGAGTGCATTTCGAGATGGAGAGATGACTTTCTCCACCTTTGGCCATACCAGGGCAATTTTTGAGGTATCAAAGTATGATGTAATATTAAAACTCGAGATCTAAGGTATAAATTTATTTAAATAGAGTAAATACAGTAATTACTGTAATCCAGTTATTTACACTCATATATGCTAATTGTTTCATACTATCTCCATGTAAAAAATTCTATCACAATTTTGGGTTGTAAACAGCTGACGATAAACCTCGAAATAATATGAATTCATACTATTCTGCATCAATGTTTGTTCTTGCGCTATTTAAATTCATAAAGGGAACCAATTGCATGAAATTTATAAATTTATTGTTATTTTCATCCTGAACTAGGAATCTTGTTACGTCGTTGGTCTGTCTACCCACTTTTGGTGCTGAGGATAACTTGTCTAATCTAGATTAAGACCTTGACGCGATAGGTTGACGGTTTAACCTTGAGGCTAGTATGCGTGAGTTTGAAGTGGGTTAGAGAGAAGAAAACTATCCTATCACCTGATTGGCTGAGAAGTACGCGAGTTAGAGAAGACAAGTCAACTGGAACACTACTGGATCTATCCCCAATTTCCCGATTTCAGATTAGTGTAAAAAGGTACATGAATAAATAGACGACTAACCCGGCCACAAAGTACAATAATAAGGAAAATACAATGCCCACTGCTGAGGAGTCCCAAAATAGGACGAAACGGTCTAACATCCATCGGTTCATGATCTCAGTCAAAAACTTAACAATCTCCACAACCTCAACTGGTAATTACCATGTGCTCACTAGTGACTAGCTTCATGAGAAAATTCTCGGAGTTCTAGTGAGAAACCGTGACCAGTGGAGCTAACCCGTGTCGGGTAGAGACAGGTATCTACCTCATTACAATGGAAGATAGTCGCGCAGTTTTGTGGATTCGTTGATGTTAGACACTAACACCATTGAATTCCTGCTCAGTGGTTCAGTAGGTTAAGCGTTTGCGCACGAGACTGTAGGCCCTGGGTTCGAGTCCCGCGAGCGGGATCGTGGGTGCGCACTGCTGAGAAGCCCCACTATAGGACGAAACGGCCGTGCAGTACTTCCAGGTTTTCAATGGTAGTCTAACATCAATCGGTTCATGATCTCAATCAAAAATTTAACAATCTCCACAACTTTTAAACTGATAAATACATTTGTGTTCAGAACTGAGTATTAGTGTTGAAAATAGGGTGCAAAATATTATGTTTAAATTACAATAGCTTTGGAACAAAAGGGCTATGACAGTGAATCATACACTAAACGAAAACTTATGGTTTGTAGAATGAATAAAGGACAAAAATATATATTAATGTTTTACAAGCTTCGAATTAACTGAAATAACGTCCCGAAAAATAGCTTTCGTAGTTTGTCAGGGTTTCTTGTTTCGCTGTTCACATTAAATCTGTAGTTTGCAACAAAACATTGGTCAGCAGTAAAGACATGGTGTAATCATTCTACAATTCACGTTTATATAATTAAATAAATAGTTTTAGTAAGTAAAGAAATGATTCCAACATTTCGTTAAGTTTTCAGTGAAATTTCCTTTAAATTGTTTTACAGTTAATCAGAAAATAAAGTTTTTTCGAACCTTAGATTACTAATTACCTAATTGTTTTATCTATCGTTATATTCACGTGATTGTGTTTTCACTTATCCGATAGATTAATCAATGAATGTGTGAATAGATCGGATTTTAGTGACACAATTAATACTGGGATAAAATATTGTAGAAATCATTTTAAGGAACTTTATGAACCATGTGTCTTTCAAATAGTTTATTCGAGGTCAGGTTTGTTAATTAACTAGTAAGTGGAACATAATCGTCTTGGACTGATCTCAGTTGTGGTACCTCTGAGAATGGGATAGCGATATACAGCTGTTATTCTTGAGTATACGACTTCTCAATAGAGCGCTCACGGCCCCTCCAGGACCTTCAGATCTTGAACCAGGAACTAAACCGTTAGACTTTAATTACTCTAGTATTAAATTATACAAATAGGTGCTTTAAATCTGGCCAATTTTATGGATTTATAATTGTAGAACCCGATGTGAAACTCATTGAAACGAACATTCTTCATTTATACAATTGTGATTTAAATATAGATTAAATTTGTTTTAATTAAGTTAAGTAAACATTTGATATCACTGATCTGTAATAATAAGCAATTTTTTCATTACTTTAAACTGATCAACCATTCAATAGTGCTAGTTATTACATTCTAGTCGTATAATGAATGTTTAAAAGAATACTTGTTCAGCATTTATATACAAGTCTTGTTCATTCATTTCAAATCTACTTATTCTAGAAAAGATATTAAAATAAATATTACACCTTGTTTAATAACTTAAAAGTGACGTCATTCCGTCAATAATAATAATAATACAAGTTATTCTATTCGAGAAAAGTTACATTGAAGAAAACTGATCAGAATGAATTGTTTATTCACAATGGTCTTAATTTATAATTTACCACTTATTTGTTTTATTTTAAAAAAAAAATTAATTATTACTTGTTTACACATAATGTTGTATGTTGTATTCCTTTTAAACAAGACCTTGGTATCATTCATTCTAACTACAAGTCTGTTTATCTATTACCAATGGTGGTCTAGCTTCAATTGACTCATGATTTCAACCTGTGAAATTTCTAAAATTCTCCACAAAACCCATTCTGATAATAATAATAATCAACTGCTCACTAGTGACTGACTTCAGGAAAAACTCCTGAAGTTCTAGTGAGAAGCCGTTACCAGTGGAGTTCAACCGGTCTGTTGTGAGATAACAACTCACTGAAGACAATGGTGTACGGTGGCGCAACTTCGTGGATTGGTTGAAGTTAGACATTAACACCGTTGGATGCCGGCTCAGTGGTCTAGTGGTTAAGTGCTCGCGCGCGAAGCCAGTGGGTCCTGGGTTCGAGCCCCGCGTGGTGCGGAACCGTGGATGCGCACTGCTGAGGAGTCCCATGCCAGGACGAAACGGCCGTCCAGTGCTTCCAGGTTTTCCCTATTTCTCATACTCAATGAACAAAACAATGAAAAAAAGTTTAATATTTTTTTCCGAGGGAAAAAACATCATTTGTTACCTAATGATTAGTATTATTATTTGTAAAATATATCATATTTACTATTAGCAAGTAAAATTAAGGTAGATAATATGAAGCTCATACCTATCAGCAAACACATGTTGTTGAGGTTATGTGAGAGAACAGCATTATTATTTACTTTCATAGATAACTTTTTTTTAACCACTTTTTCTCTTTACTTAGGCATAATACAATAGGAGAAAATCGTTTTTCAATCACTTGAGGGTAGTATAACTGTTACAATAGAAGTAATTTTTTTTATCATGGGCGGTATTATGTCGGATACCATTTTTTAATCTACAGAAAATTAGATAAATATTTATAAAATGATGTGTTTGAGTGGAATTAAAGAAAAGTGAATTTTTTAGATCTAACAAAGTAGTTTATTAAGAAAAGAAACTGTAGTGTTTAAATTATAGAATGCCTACAGCTAAAGTACCACTAAATGCCAAGAAGTACTGAACATCACTTAGAATTAAATATGATACTTTTCAGGATTTTTCATCCATGACTTCATCTGTGGTGTTTATATGAACTAATGATTCTTTTGTACTTGATGACTGCCTGATTTCGAATTTCAAATACAATACTTTCGTTCGTGCTCATCTAATATTTCTTGGTTAAATTGCGTTATTTCTGAAATTCCTAGTTTGTAATGTAATTCAAATACTTCAAACCAACATATCATCATTCAAGTTTCTCAATGTAGAGGAGTTACGTCCTAATAGCAAAGTTGGAATCCAATAATCCATATCCATAAACTCAGCCAACTCGATATATTGCATGGCTATCATTCAAAACTATCAGTGATGCCTGTCACGTGCGCGAAATAGTTCAACTCCACTAGTTATATCGTTTAACTAGAAGCTTAAAAAATCTTATCAAAGTCAGTCACTAGTAAACAACTGGATAGGATGTTGGGAGTTTGTAGAAATTATCCCATTGTACGATACCATATATCGTGGAGTAATTATGACTATGAAGCATTATATATCTATTTCGTTCCAGTAGTAAGTGGTTTAAAGTAATGAATCCTCCATATGACATAAAAATCTTGGCACATGGGTAAGTCAGCAATTAGTTTTTAGTTAGTATCTGGCTAAAATTAATCTGTGATTTCATCACTGATATAATTTAAAATGATTTATATTTTATGCACTTTTTTCTTCAGTAAATTACTCTTTTTTTTATCATACATCATCGATTTTCATCTAAGTATTTGTAAACATGC